ATATATATATATTCAAAAGGAAATAGTACATGGTTTAAAATCTGGAAAGATGTGTGTCAGAATTCTATCCTTTCACCATTTTTAATCTGTATGCTGAGCACATAATCCAAGAAGCCGGACTCTATGGAAAATGCAGCTTTAGGATTATTAACAATCTCCTACGACATGCATTGATTGACCCATCCTTGCTTGCTGAAACCAAGGACTTGAACACTTGCTGATAAAAATCAAAGAATGCAGCCTTCAGTATGGATTGTACCTCATGGTAAAGAAAACAAAAATCCATCCTCAGAACTGGACCAATAGAGAACATGACAAAAGGAGTAAAGATTGAAGTTGTCGGATTTCATTTTGTTTGTGCGAACAACACTAATGGAGGCAGCAGCCAGGAATTCACACAACAAACACTTTGGAGATTGCTAAGGGAGGGAAGGGCCACGGAGAGAAGATAAAGCAATGGGCTAGACTGTTGATGAGGTTTAGTTGGGCGAAATGAAAGAGAGTAGCCTACAAGGGAGAGAAGAGCAATTAAGGAGCTGATGAGGGGTAAACGATTTGAGGAGTCTGATCAGCAGTTTAAACTGTTGAATACAAAGTTGATGATCTAAAATGTAAGCCACACCTTATTTACAATAAAAATTGCCATCCAATTTTTAAAAAATCAAATGATATACTACATTGGGCAAATATGCTGCACAAGGCCTCTTTAAAGTGTCAAAGAGCATGAACAGATGTCACTCTGAGAACTAAGGTGTGCCTGACTCACGCCTTAGTATTTTTCACTCATCTCATATGCACGTGAAAGCTGGACAATAGATAAGGTAGCAGAAGCATTGATGTACTTGAATGAGTGTTGGCAAAGAATGTTCAAGGCACCATAGACTGCCAGAAGAACAAAAAAACCTGTCTGAGAAGAAGTACAGCCAGAGGCTCCGTGGAAATGAGGATGCAAGATTCTCACATATTTTGTGTGTGCTATCAGGAGAGGTCAGTCCCTGAAAAAGGAGCTCTTGCTTGGTAAAGCAGAGGGTCACAAAAAAGGAGGAAGACACTCGATGAGATGGATTGAGCCAGTGGCTGCAACAATGGGCTCAAACATAATTAGAATTGTGAGGATTACACAAGACCAAGTAGTGTTTCGTTCTGTTGTGCATAGGAGGGTCACTATGAGTCAGAATCTACGTGTTGGTACCTAACAACATTAAAAGTGTGTTTCAAGACATTCTGCCTGAAATAAAAGTTATGGTTTTGGCTACTCCAGGTGAGAGATTATGTGACTTGAACTGGGGGAGGTTACAGGGAGGTGGGTTAAATACAGCACATATTTTGGAGAAAGTCTGTGGTGGAGCGAAATTTCTTAATATGGCTTTGCTATCCATGTCTCTGTAACTTCCATCCACTGACTGAGTGGGATTACACAACAAGCTGGATTGACACAGTGGCTGCAACACTGGCTCAGGCATAGGAATGAACTTAAGGATGGTGCACGAAGGATTGTGCATTGTTTCCTTCTGTGTGCATAGGATCGCTATGGGTCAGATCCAACTTAACAACATGCAAATAATATGTGTGTAACTCTAATAGAGGGGATTGGTCAGTTTTGTATAAGGATGGGCCGCTCAAATTAATAGGGAGAGAAATCCCAGGATCACTGAAGAAAAGTCACTAGTTCAGCCCGTTTTACATCTCTGTGTGACCTGCCAGCGGGAGACTGAGACCAGAGGAGGGCAGAACATGAGACAAGGAGACCCATGAGACAAAACAAAGGAGCAGCAAGGAGACTAGGACTGTAAGGCAGAGCCAGAGGCCAAGGGACCACCTGTCTGAGAAGCTGGGGACTGGAAAGGAACTTGGCTGTCAGCTGAGGAGAGGTGTTGACGTGGACCAGTGATTGTATCCTTAATGTTTTCTAATCATGGGTTGTGGTGACCTAATTGACTTCCCTAATAAACCCCTCCTTAATTGAGAGTTTTATCTGAGAGTTCTGTATGGCCATTGCAACAAAATCAGCAGAAAAGTAGAGTGTCCTCGGAGGAACAGTTGGTGTGAGAATAGGATAAAAGAGGATAATGGAGAGATGCCTGATCTCTGTCTTGTGGCAACAGGAAAGCCAGAGGAGGTTGGACATGGCCACCTCCATGCTGTTTACTACAGAGTCAGAACGTGTAACTAATATATTGGACTTAAGAAATACTGGAAAGAGAAAAACCAGGTTTAGGAAAGAAACAAAACAAAACTGTTCTGAAAAGATATACCAAATAAATTATTGAGTAACTTAGAAGAAATTCAAATATAAATAATACTCAAATACTGTGAATACTGATTTGGTAATGATGAACCCGTATTTTTAAAAGCAAGAAGTATTTCAGTTAAATTAGTTGCTATACTATCTTACTTGGATGTATTATGCAGAAATATATGGTATGCTGTACAGAGCAGACAGTCAAATTAATATTTTTAAAGAAAAATATTAGACTTTTATGTTAATTTGATTTGCACCCAATGCCAAAATATTACACCTTCCTTTTTCTTTCCCCTTCCCTCTCCTATTACTCTTAATCTGGAACTGCCAGGTAAACGAAGCGTGAGTAGGGCGGGTGTTCTGCTTTTGCTGAGCACAGGCCTTTTAGGAACCTACACTTGTAGGCAATTAATCTCGTGCTTTAAAAATTCAGTTCGAAGCATTATCTTTTAAAAAGCAATTTAAAAAACATTACCATAGCCAGACCATAAGGAGAGTGTTTCAAGGCTAGACTATTGATGGGTAGGTAAGAGAGGGCGGAATGTTTTCCAGGGAACAATGAATCAGTCTCTGACATGATTTTTGTTCCATGAATCTGTCTCAAGAACAGTGAACCACTTAAAGGGGGTAAAGCATTGAATAAAACACTGCAGTTCATAGATTCATTGTGAACTCTTGAGTTTTTATTCAAATCTTTACCCTTTTTGGATTACCACAAGAATGTTTCATAATAAAAATTTTTAAAATACTGATATGAAAATACTTTAGCACCCATCATATATTATAATGAAGAAATACAAAGAAACTTTTATAAAGATAGGATTTCTCTCCAAAGCTTAATATCAGGTAGACAAACATCTAACTTTAAAACAGCTAAAAGTCTATGACGTTTCCAGGACAGGTAAATATGAAGTTTTTGTTATATTTTATGCCAAAGACAGTCATGCAAATAGATGGACAGGGTATCTGTGCTTACTATTCTTCCCATTTTCCTTTCTAATCTTTAAATTTACCAATTCAATATTTTTTTGGAATCCTATGATAAGCATCCAGACAGAACCGTATATACTCGAGTAGAAGCCGACCTGAATATCAGCCGAGACACCTAATTTTACAAGCTGCATAAAAAGTGTGCTGAAAAATTCAGCTTATACATAAGTACATACGGTATATGGTTTTTATACATTGCTCTATAATCTTGCATATATTACCCTCTAGCAAATCAAGACATACTCAGTAATAAATATTGATTCATGAATCCCAACATAAGTACTCTGACATAAGAAAAAAGAAAACAAAACAACTTGTCACTAATAAAATGAGTTTATTTCCATAACAAAGAAGTCAAAATACCATACTTATAAAATTCCCCACTTTCTGGTTTTAAAGATAGCCTTTACAAATGGCTTAACAACTTGTAAAACTGTATTCTCTTAACTATTACAGTAAACAGACTTCAAAAGTGTTAGAAGAGAAAATGTTAAGTAATAGTGTTTAAAAAAGAGTTAATATTCATTAAATCTGAAAGGTACTACCACAAAATTAAATCTAAAAACACTTAGGAAAAAAACCTGTATTTTCTTTTCAGAAAGTTTAATCTTAAGTGTGATGTGAAGTAACTGTATCTCATAATAACAATGAACGTCTCAATATTTACCTAATTGCTTTGCAATGAATTGAATGACACCAGAGAAAACACAGGAACTTACATAAAAATATGTAACTCCTTAATTTTCCTGATAAAAGATAACAAAAATGAAAATTTAGTAAATTCCAATTAAAATATCAATTACTGATATTTATCCTAAGAGTACTGTATATTTTTAAACATAAAAGTTCAAGCATTTTCCAAAAGCATAAACTTTGATACTTCAGAAAACAATAAGAAAAACATGTTTTATCTAATCCAAGTAAAACAGAAATTTGGAATATTTACATTTTTTATAATACTGTAGAAATCTTTGGTGGTGATATATGGATTAAACTCCCTGAACACACCTTAATAATTTTGTTCTACCAATCAGCTTAATCAAGTATTTATAATGAATAATATCGGCACTATTTCCTGCCCAAATCCACATATATAGTGAAGCGTTTGCAGGGGACTTTACACAGGACTTAGGTGGGTGTTCATAATTACATAGCATTAAGACTAATTTCTGGCCTCTTTATTCTAGGATAAATATGATAAAGAATATCCATTCTTACTTTGAAACAAACTCTGTTAATAGCTAATATTAATGAATATGTTGAATGAGTATATAATAAAATAAAACACCTGCTGTAGATTCTGAATACATTAACTGGCTACCCAATAGTGACATAACTAGGCTTGTGGATCTGATGCTCATGAAAGAAGGGTGGTGGGGGAAGCAAGGCACGATGGCTCTAGAGATGTTACCTCTTTCAAAACCTGAAAACTGAGCAGAGAAAGCTAATGAGCTGCCTTACTTTAGAAGAATATAAAGTGTATGTGTTTATTATACAAAGTACAGAGGAAACAATATGCCAAAACAAACATATGGAGAAAACTAAAATTTAAGCAATGTAAAAGGAGGAGGAAGAGGAAATGGCAGACAAACAAACTGACACCCAATGTGGATATGGATGTCACAGTAGAAATATCGAGACTATTCAACAGGACTTTTGCTACCGCCTCCTGACTGGTGTTATGTTTGATTGACTATTTTGATTCTTAAAAGATAGAGGGATAATGGAAAATAGTATTTATGAGTTTGCTATAATTAAAGGTTTGGTACTGAGATTAGACTTGAAAAAGACATAGGTAAACAAGCTCCCAGATATAAACGTTTTTGACGCAGTCACTCTCATGGCCTCATCAGGCAATGTGGGAAGACACGATTTTGGTTTTTTGGTCAAAAACACAGCATGCTCACATGTACATTAAGGAGGCTAAAACCAGTTGTCATAAGTAGACCCTGGCTCAGGGTGACCCTCTGTGTGTCAGGGCACAGTGGCACTCATAGGGTTTAAGGTGGCTGAAGTTTTGGAAGTAGATCCCCAGGTCTTCATTCTGACGTTAACTCAAACTTCCAGATTTTTGGTTAGCAGCTAAGCGTGTTAGCTGTTGGCACCACCTTGGGAGTTCTATTGTAAAGACCAGATATAGATAATATAAACAAAACCTTTTTACAAGAGTTTATAATGAGAATTTATAAGAATTTTGAATAGAAATTGAAGTACCCCTCACCCCCCATCCTTCAGAAGCAAAGAAGCTGAAAAATTAGTCATGGTAAAGAAGATGAAGATATTCGTAGAGTTAAACTTTAGAGGAAAAGAAGCTTAGTTCATTTTAGTTAGTGTTATATATTAAGAATGAGCTAACCTAGAAAACAGTTTAAAGCTAGTACCAAGAGGCAATCTATGAATTGTGCTAAATAAAACAAATGGTTGCTGGGAGTGGATTCTATACTAAAGTACTTCTGAGTAAATATCCTCTTCTCAGTCAAAACTCTGAAGAGGTCCTGAATATACATTACCAGCTGGCTTCATCGCTTGAAAGGCAGAAAGAGGTAAGATCCTACAAATCTTTCTAATTTTTTCTCCTTTTAGACAAATAAGTGGAATACTTAAGTATGACTATTGATCACTATAACCCTCACCAAAAATAAGTTGACTATGGTTCATAATGCATAGTTATCAATGTAACCTAAGAGTCTCAAAGTTCAATAATGTAAAATCCCTCAGATTAGAAATTAATATTGTTCTAACCCTTTCTAAATACGCATTTTGCATTACATTGCTCTTTAGGAGACTGTCTCAGCTAAGAGAAAAGCGATTCAAATAATTCTAATCAATGTCAGATTTATAAGCCAGTAGCATATCTAAACACCAAGCTTGTAAAGTAGATTGATTGGCTGTTGGTTAATTTTAAGAGTTACAGAGACCTTGCATGCTCGAATGGTCTCTGCTATTGGACAAGCCAGCATTTTATAAAAGCTGAAAATGTCACTAATGTTAACAAAAATATGTTCAATTCCACTACAATGTACAGCTAAATAAGGGAAATTTATTAATGTTTAAAATAATTTCTTATTTGTAAAGAAGGTAATTAAACAGTTAAAACCGAACAATTAGCTATTTTTCGTATTGCTAAAATGAAACATTTAACAAATGAAATCCACGAGAAAAGAGATGATGAAATTCAAGGCATAAATGTGACACGTCAGACTATGATAAACAATAAGACAGTGTCAGTAAAGTTTAAAATAAATGTACAGCCATGATGTAAGTAAACAATTTTCAAGTGCGCAAAACTATTCATGGATAAAAGTGCTATGTGGATACCTGGTTTTGAAGTATTTGTTTAAAAACTTTCCCATGATGGTACAAAAACTTGAAAGCATTATCAAGGTAAAAATTTTAAAGAATATATAAAACGTGCTTTATCATCTTACATTATGCCCTTGTTATATAACTGATAGGTCAGAGGTCTGTTTTAATTATTATCTGCAGGTCATGTATTCAACATAAATAGAGGTAAACAATACAATACCATGAAGGTGATATACCCTGAACCACAAAAACACTCTTTTCAAGTATACTGTGGGTTTATTTTTCATCTTATATCCAAGGCACTTAATATTGTTGGGGATTTTAAATAGACAACATGGATTTTAATAATTTTGGTATATGTATTAATAAACTTTACATAACTATCTTTAGTAGTCAAGATTGGGAAGTATCTGGTAAAGAAATAAAAATGATTTAAATTGATGAAATAAACCCTATCACCAGCACAACTTAAAGTATTATCTTAACGTGTAAATGTTGAATATATAATGTTTAAAATTGAAGTCAATGCATTAGCATAATTTTTCTTGTAGTTCTTGGGGTGCAGGTGGCTAAAAATACACTTGTGGTCGTTTCTTCACTTTATATTTCAGTGATCCATACCGCACCTGAAGAGAAAACATATAATGATGTGAATTACATGGGATGTGATAATTTATAATTATAGTAATGATTTTTTAGCTTTTCTGAAATAAAGAATCAATTATTCCTTTATGATCTTTTTTGGTTTTCCCTTTATGATCTTTTAAAAACTATGTTTATGGGATCAATGTGACAACTGCATCTCAGGAGATTAGACAGGCCTCTTAGGGGACAGTGAGTCTGTGTTAATGAAGGAGGGCCAATTTAAAAAGAGAGTGAGAATGGTTGTACAACTCGGAGTAGAGTACAGCTTACTGACCTGTACATGTAGAAACAGTTCAATTGAGGTAGTCAGCATATATTCCCAACAAGAACAACAAATTTAATTATCTTTTCGATGTATACTCGGAAGACAGTACTGTTTATATATCCATAAAAATGTAGTTGGTAACATGTGAGCTAAATTGCAGATTATGACTTTATTATTATGTCTAATAAGTAAAAACATTAAGTTTTATAGCTTGTGCTTTGCTTAGTGCATGACAATGGATACTGAACATAATCATCCATGGTCACTGAAATCCTACACTGTGTTCAGGGAATAAAGATGAGATACACTGTTTTGGATAGACCTTTACAATTTAATCCTCATGAAATGGTAGTTCAAAGCAAAACTATTCAATTAACTTTGCCAGGTGCTGTCCCTGCTTAGAGTGGGGGTTGGCACTGGGTACTCATGATAACCATACTATTTGCTCAGTATCATGTTCACTCATTTTTGACGGCTAGGGAATTTACAATTTTCAAAATTTCCATTGATCCTGAAACATCTGATCGGATCAAAGAGTCTTAAATATAACTGCTTTTCTACCACTCCAATCTGTCATTTCTGGATCATTAACGTCCACCACAGGGCAGCAGGGGAACCCCTTACTATTCATTGTCAGGAAAACAACGCTCTGCTCCACTAACCTCTTTACGGCCTTTGATAGTTTTCACGGATTTCATGCTTTGCGATCTCCGAAGTCCTTTGTGTGTTAACATCTCGTCATCTGAGTACGGCCCCGTCTCTTCATCTGTTTTCTCATCCCCATCCTTCAGTGGAATTGCATACCCTAAATCAGTTAAAACGGCATGTTTTGGTGACGGGATACCAGGCAACGTTCGTGGCTCTGCAGCCTTTCTGCCGCAGTTCCTTGCATGGTTCGCATTTACCAGGCAATTCCTCTTTTCCCATGTCGGTGTGTTCCCTGCCCTTCAGGATTAATCATTCACTGTTCTACATAACACTCATAACTTCATTTCCTTTGCAAATTTGTCCCTGACCATTCTTATTTTTATTATGCATATTTCGGAATCCTTAAAAAATTAATTTTGAGTACATAAAACATTCGTCTAGTTCAAAACTCAAAGAATGTAGATACACAGTAAAGTCTCTTCCCATGCCCTCTACTTTTTATGAATTGTACACACTCTCAATAAAAGATGGTTTTTCCTAAGCACTTGCGTAATTTAATCTGTTATTTGCTCCTATAGTTTAAATTATGAATTGAGGTCCCATTTCCTCTGTGTATCATATTTTTGGTCAAGATCAGGAATGGTAGATGTTAAGCAAACCTCACAAAACAAAACCAGTCACCATGCCGTCAATTCCGATTCGTGGAGATCCTGTGTGTGTTAGACTTGAAATGCACTGGACCCTTTTAGAAGTACAGCTCTTGGGCTTTTTTTCTAAGCAATCCCTGTATAAATTCAGTAGCCCAGTGCTTAACCATTTACAGCACCAGGGACTAAACAAGATCCAAAGGAGCTAAAAACTTGGGGAAGTTATTGCTACTGGAAGGTCTTTGTATGATCTGGACACATGGAGCTAGTCTAAAAACCTAAAGGTTGATAAATTAAAACTACCTAGCAATTCTGATGGAGAAATATCTGGCAGTTTTCATCTTTTAAGATTACAGCCAGGAAAATCCTATGGAGTAACACATGACCATTGGTTAGAATTGACTGGACAGTAAAGCAGGGGGAAGAGTTCACTTGGGGGAGATGATGGAGTTGTTGCAGCTGTTGAGATAAAGCCCAGCCAGACAGCCTACATAATTAGACACTGCAGACGATGACAGATGTTAGTCAAAGAGACTACCCAGCATCAGGAAGGTCTTTAAGAGATCATGTGTGTGTGCTAACAAAGATGTAAACATTCACGTTATCAGGTTGGTTACTGCCAGGAAGTCAGGCAGCAAGATTTTGGGAACCAGGGAAAAGAACTCTCTATATCAGAAACAGTTGTTCTCTAAATTTGGTACAGTATCAGAGTCACCTGGAGAACTTGTTACTGCACAGCTTGCTGGGCCCCACCCAAGGCTTCTAATTCAGTGGGCCTGGGAGACCTGGTGGTGCTGTTGGGTAAGAAGTGGACTGCTAATCCCCGGGTTGGCAGTAGAAAGCTGCCAGCCGCTCTGAGGGAGAAGGAGAGGCTGTCTGCTTCTGCAAGAACTTACAGAATTATAAGAAGTATAAGGTGACTGTGAGTGAAAATCAACTTGATGGTTTGGGTTGGGGGCGCTGAGAATTTGCATTTCTAACAAGTTCTTAGGTTACTGGTCTGGGGCCTACACTTTAAGGAGAGAACAAGCCAAGTACCCAAGATTATGGTAACTAGAATACTAGGTAGATGATAAAGGTAGGGAGTCAGGTAACAAAGCTGTTAAGTTTCAAATTTTCCTTTAATAAAGATAAAGGAACTTAACTAGTAAATCTACAGGTACAGAACAAGGAGAAGTATTTCCAGGCTCAAAAGAAAACAGGGATGGAATGCTTGCATATCAAGAAAAATATACTCAGTTAATGTTTGTTAGTTTGTTCCCTTAAGGCAAAGATACTTTGAGACCCACTAATCAAACCATGAAGATTGGTTAATAAGCTTCTTACTCTCATAATGACATAAACACTTTCATTGTACATTGGGAAGGTTTAATTTTATGCTGCCAAATTTCTAGGGTAGGAATTAAGAAGGATTAGTGAACAGAATTGGTATGCTATTATTTTAAGCCAATACGTATTCTTGTTCTAGCACTTTGGTTTCCTGCAAGTAGTCTAAAGCAATGCAGCCTAGGTAGAAGAGAGCATGTGCAGACTCCTGGGGCCAGACGAATCATTGCTCCTGTGAGGAACTAAAAGGAGTCCAATGTAGCTAGGAGAAAGATAGGTGACAGGAAAATGTTCCTGGTGCAATATTAAGTGGGAAAAAATATATAGAGACAAACAAAAAACATAAAGATGAAACTACACTGGTTCCTCATTTATCAACATGGTTAGGTTCCCAAAACTAGCCTGTTATGTGAAAATCAGTGCTAGGCAAAATTGGACTATATAATTTCCACATTACATCATTAAATAACTGCTAAACCCCTGAGAACCACTTACACTATTCCCCATCTCAATTTTATAAAACAGGTAAAATACAGAATGAAGAATCAAGGACTGAATCAGGAAGGAAGCAACGTGATTTAAAAAAAAAAGGTCTTTAAGACCACCAATGAAGCATAAGATGATATACAGTTTAACACAAACGCCTTTGCTGTTATGTGCCCTTGAATCCATTCTGGCTTATAGAAACCCTTTATGGGAAGAGTAGAATTCCAGCAATGTTTTCTTGTCTATAATCTTCATGGAAACCCCCTGATGGTGTTTTAGTTGATGTGCAGGAGTTAAGTGCTTGGTTGGTAACTGAAAGGGTGGTGGTTCAACCTTACCAGTCATTCTGTGGGAGAAAGGTGTAGCACTCTACTTATGCCTTGGAAAATTTACAAATAGGACAGTTCTATTCTGTCCAGTACGGCTGCTACTATGAATGAGAATTGACTTGATGACATTTCTTTGGTGGGAGGGTAATCTTCATCGGAGACTGCTAGGTCATTTTACTCATAGAGCAGCTCGTGGGTTGAACCACTGAACTTCCAGTTAGCCATTGAAGACTTAACTATTTTACTACTAAGGTTCCTTTCAAAAACCACAATCCTTGCCATTTTAATTGCCTCCATTTTCACAACTAGGGATTTGAATTTCATTCAAAAGTTGTTTCTGACCCCCTTGGCACTGGGTTGATTCTGACTCATAGACTCCATAGGACAGAGTAGAACGGATGCAGAGCATCTCCCAGACTGTAATCTTAATAGAAGCAAACTGCTCCAGCTTTGCCTCCTGGGAAGATACAGATGAGTGTGAAGCCCCAACCTTTTGGTTAGCAGGCAAGTGTTACACCCACTGCACCACCAAGGATGTTCAAAATTTGTGTACACGACATTTTAGTCTTTCCCTTTTTCCTAATTTCAGTGAAAAAAGTCTTATTAGCTTTTTAAGTACAGTTTCAGCGAAGTGGTGAATTGATTCCACGCATATTTTTTAAAATGCTACTATGTGTGAGTTAGCATGTAAAATTATAGGGTACAACGATGAGAAAGACATTTATATTTTTCTACACTTAAGTACCTTAAAATCCAACAGGGAAAACAGACTCACTGGGCAGTTAGTATAGTACTATGAGAACGGTTATAAATAGAAGGTTAAGGTCAACACTTCATGTGAGCACACACTTAAGAGAATTACTCAGCTGGCGGCATTGCACGTCTGTGCACATGTAGGCTGTGAGAAAAGACTTCTTGTAGGGAGTGGTGGCCAAGCCTAAATCCTGAATGGCCTCAATTCTATTTAGCTAGCACATGATGGAGTGAGAGAACAAGGCTAGAGAGATAATAGGCCAGGCTGCAGAGGTGAACTAATTCAGAAAACACGGAAGCATTGCTAATGTGAGGCATTTTAAGTAGAAGGGTGACACAATTCGATTTGGGTTTGTAAAACAGTCTTCTGGGTGCATTTCAGAGACTAGATCGGAGGTGAATGAAACTGAAAACCGGGAAGCTAAGTGAGGCGGCTACTGCAGTATGGAGGAAAGAAAAGCTGGACAAAGAAAGTGGCCACATTTAGGATCTTTAAGGAGGTAAAATTAGTGAATATAACTCAGAAACTTACTAACCAAATCCTGCATCAAAAAAGATACTATAGTCAAGTCAAATTCTTCACTGAGATATGCATTTTTTTATTCAACTTAAAAATTCAAAAGTACTAATTATCTTTCAAGATGAAGAGCATTGTGGTTTCTATCTCTGACTTTGAGAAACAGGTTATAACAAAATAAATAAATAAACCACTAAAAATCCCTCTACTCAGAACTAATGACTGTTAATTATCTTAGTAACACACTTCTCTTCTGTGTGTATGCCTTTCAAAAATAGATTTACATATATTAATCCATGTAGTCGTCTGCTTATTGTGCCTCTACAGTAGAGGATCCTATCACACAAATTACTTTATTATTCCTTTCCCTACAATATGGATGTATTTTCATCTCAATAAGTATAGTTCAATATTACCATTTTTTGATGGTGAAATAAACCAACATTTTACTTAGATAATTTATCTTGGGCATTTAATTGGTTCCAAGATTTTGCCAGTATGCACAAGGAGGTGGATGTTCTCATACATCAATTCCCAGACATTTTTCTGATTACTTCCTTATGACATATTCCTAGAAGTATTCTTGCTGACTTAAAAGGGGCACATTTTTATAAATATTGCCCAGCTGCCAGCCAAAGAATTATTCCATTTAAAACTCTCATAAAATGCATGCAAGTATGTTTGTTTCCCAAGATGCTTGGTATGGTGGTTTTAAAACATGTCCACAAATTCTATGACATTCTTCTCCCATTTCTTTAAACCAAAGTGAATATACCTAATTGTTAACTGCATATTAACAAAATGCTTATATCAGGAACAGATTTTACATTATTCATGTATTAAGACTGATGTTTCAAAGTTATTCCCACTTAAAGATTCACTATGTAATAACCAATTCTTAATTACTACTTCTTAGATAACAATGACCAACTTTGTCAATTAAAATGAAAATTTCTTTATAGGAAAGGACTTATTTATATTTCAAAGTAGATTTAACTATAAAGAATGGCTCTCAAATGATGGCGTGATATATAACTCAATTAAAAAATAATTAGAAAATAAACAAAAGAATGCTTCTCGATCACTTTGTAAAGAAAACATCTACTTAAAAAATATTTTAAAAAATGGTTAAGTAGACCTGTATTTTATGGGCATAACCATTAATAATAAATATTTGTAAGATCTTCATTGTTAATTGTAAATCTTGAATTAAAACCTTTTTTTAGAATAACATGACAAGGAATTATGTCCTTTGTTTATGTACATGTTTCTTTTTTTATGTATATGTTCCTAAAGTCATAATAACAGACTAAAATTTTAGAACATATAAATTATCACAAGTTCATAAGTTATATAAGAATATACCAACAAGTTAGCTCTTGAACTAGAGTATGTAATTTCAACACATTTACCACCTGAGTAATCCTATTTTCAATCTGAGTCATCTTTGTGATCTTCTTAAAATTCTTTATCTTCTGAGTCAGTATCTTTATTTGTTCGTGGCATTTATGGTAGAGAGTGTTTAAATATATAATGCCTTGGATGTCACAACACCATATGAATAGCAAGAGTATGGATCATGGGTCAGAACTCGTATTGGGTGGGGTTGGGGAGTGATGATAACCACCCTCACAGCTTCTAAAAGTTCAATGCAACACAAGAGGTTACTGCTACTCTCTTAGCTAGAATATTTCCCAGGTTGACAAAAGATAAATACAAACCTTATTTAAAGGAAATTTAGCAAAAGACAACTACTGTTAAATGTGAAATAGTACATACAGAACTAAATTAATATAGTTAGCATGTGGTATTTTAGTGCTCATCTTGACCAATTAGCACAATTATTTGTTAAATGATGTATTAGTAGTTCAGTGGTAGAATTTCCCATGCAGGAGGCCGAGGTTCATTCCCACCAAGCTCAGCCCACATGGGCCAAGTGGAAGACTACAGGTTGAAGTGATGCTATTAGGTTTCAGCAGAGTTTCTAGGATAACAGACTAGGGAAAAGGGCCTGGCAGTTCATTTCTGTAACTCAGCCAATTAAAAATCTATGGATAACAGTGTACTGATCCTGCTGTACATGGGGCCACCGGGAGCTGGGGAACAACTTGAAGAGAGCTAATAAAACCAAATATTGGGACAAACAAGCATACCTGCTGATTCGCTGGATGCTGGCTTACTTCTCTTTTTTGTTTCTGGTAGAGTTTGGTATGGTCTTTGTCCCACAGGCTCATCACCTTGAATAGCTGTTAAGTCATGCATACTGAAGCTTCGTAACCGCTCCGTTATTGCTCCTTGACTCTGTTTAAGAGAGCAGGGACGGATTCAAGGGGGGTCGGGTGGGGGGAAGGATACTTTAAAATATTTAACATGCTTATCTTTAACTTTAGCCCAACATTTTATTGTGGCCTTTTTCAGTTATCAAACTTTCTGAAAATAGAACTGTACAGTGAGTACCCATCTATTATTTACACTTTTCTGTAATTGCTTTAGCACATATTTGCCATCTATCCACCTATCAGTCTGTCTTATAGTTTAGACACTTCCAAAGTAAGTTCTAAGCATCAGTAGGTTTTACCCCTCAACATTTTAGCAGTACCGTTAAATTTAAAATGCAAAACACACGAGGAGCTTATCCTTAGTGTAAACAGCACCCACAATTCTTTCTTTTAAACCCTAGCACATTAGGGTTTCAATTTATGCTTTGGAAGAATCATTTAATGCAAAAACAGATACTGTTTTAAAACCAATCCAAGTTAGGAGTGGTAATCGTTCTACTTACAACAAAGGAAAAACTGACAAGCCAAAGAATCTTGGATATAAAATGATATTCTGTTAATGAATTTCTTATCTGGCAAGGCACAATTACTACTATATAACTGGACATTAGACCATTTTAACAGTAATGTAGCCACTTGCCACATGAGGCTATTTAAATTCTCATTTATTAAAAATAACCAATTCAATACAAATGAAGATGTTATTATATTTTATTACATTATATACATATATACTGGCTACTTTACTGGGTAAGGCAGAATAGGGCATTTCCATTATTGCAGAAAGTTCAGTGATTGTGATCATTACTCAGCTCTGGGAGGTACATTTGTGAACTTTTTCAGACATAACTATATTCTCCTCTGAATTTAAAGCTTTTAAAGAGAGAAAAAAAATCACTTCTAAATTTGCCTACTTTGAAAATTTACATAGCATATAGATGACTCATTTTTTATTTATAACTAGATTAAAATATTCTTCTAAAGGTTTTTACACTTTACTTATTATTTCTCCTTTTGAAACATGTGAATTTATCATTGCCTCTAGTTTCGTTACCGTAGAAACTTGACTATAATTGTTCATTTCTAAGTTTCAACACCTAAGACGACATTTAAAAAAGGGCATTTTATACTTCAGAAAGAGGTCTTGGTTCAGTTGCTGAGGATTAGGAATGTCACATTGTGTCAAAGGTAAATGCCATACTTCACTTGGATACAAGATGATATCCTGTTAATATATTATTAGATTTCTGCTGCTCTCAAAGCCAGTTCTGACTCACAGCAAACCCATGCGTGTCAGAGAAAACTGTACTCCATAGGGTTTTCACTGGTTAAGTGTTTTCAAAAGTAGAAGTACTAGGCCTTTTCCCCCAAGGTGCTTCTGGGTGGATTTGAACCACCAACCCTTTGGTTCATAGCCCGGCACAAATGATTTGGTACCTTAAATATTAAAAGGTCTGTATTCTCAGTAAATATCATACCTCTTCGTGGCATCATTTAACCTATTAGTTTGGCATGATTTAACTTACTAAAGAAACAAATGGCTTTGAGATTTCAGAGCCAGACTACAAAGACCAACTCTTATCTCAAGTACATGCCTGGTTTTCTTAGAAATGGCATTTTCTTTGCCCCACCTTCATACTCCTGTGCCCTCAGAAATTCTTGGTGTTTTCCAACTGCCACACAGTAAAAAGATGCTCCTGATACCCTGCACTCATCAGACACAATGCTGCAGGTTCACGGTAACTACAGTCACAAACAAACTCACACATACTTGCTAGCTTTATTGTCACTCTCTGGTAAGGTTGCTCACTGCAAAGTCAAGTGGTTCAAACCCACCAGCTGCTCCTCAAGAGGAAGATGAGGCTATCTGCTCCCATAAAGATATACAACCTTAAAAGTCCTTTATAGGGTCACTGTGAGGCAGAATAAACCCTGTGGCTTTTTGTACATATATATTTTGTCGCTAGAGCAAGATTTTAAGAAACTATTTCCCCTGCACCTGCTATGGTACTGAGATTGAGCATGTATTAAATAAACTATTTTTAATGCCTCTTCTTTTTCATTACCCTAGCCTGCTAGAGAGTTGATTATACCACATGGATCCAAGTATTATTTTCTGGACTTCAAGAAGGCCAGGCACTAAAGAGAAAAGCAGAAAGGGAGTGGGTAACCTCTTTGAGGTCCCCAAACTACACATCATCATCTTGAGAAACCATTTCCACTGTATTTTTTATGTGCCCTTAATAGAATATAGGAAAAGAGAATTAAAGCAGTATTGTAAACCTTACTATCTAATGTGGCCACTTTAACGGAAAATGTATTGATAAAACAGTCATATTGGAGACAGATCTATTTCATCTGGATTGTAAATCTTCTTGAGCATAACTAATGGACAGAAATATCATTAATAAGGGAATTACGTTTGCTGTACAATGTTCAAGGATCCCTGGTGGTATACTGGGTTAATTTGCTGTGCTGCTAACTATAAGGTCAGTGGTTCAGATCCACCAGATGCTCTGTGGGAGAAAGATGAACCTCATTTGCTTCCGTAAAGATTGACAGTCTCAGGAACCCCAAGGAGAATTTCTACTCTGTCCTACAGGGGTCATATCAGTTGGAATGGATTCATGGCATTGGGTTGGGTTGGATGGTGTACAATGTTTGAGGACCCCAGGCAGAGCAGTTAAGCACTCAGCTGCTAACAGAAAGATTGGAGGTTCAAACCCAGCAGCTACTCTAGGGAGAAAGCGGTAGCAGCATGTTCCTGTAAATATTACAACCTAGGAAACCCAATGGGGCAGTTCTATTATGTTCTATAGAGTAGCTACATAGACTTGATGGCAACGGGGTATTTTTTGTTTTTGCTGTTTTAATAGAGTATTAACTGGGAGAAAAATCTCTCTACCTCAGACATATTATAGTGCAATTAGTTTACAAAGATTAAGTAGACATGGAAAATTACCTGTAAATGAAAACAGTTAATATTTTGGTAGATTAGATAGGATGCATTTTTCAATAATGTTTTAAGATTATAAAATTAGTCATAGATAGTAAAGTTTTAACATAATGGATTATAAGTATTTCTGATCCATTTCCCACTCATGTTTCTAGTATTGAATTATTTACTCCCATTATGAAAAGAAAAACGATTTCTCTACTTTGAAGGCACAAATAAGGAATCACTGTAACCTGTCGATAACAGCACAAAAACTGTACTGACGTCTCATTTAAATCAATACTGCCTTATCTGCTTTATCCTCTTAGTTGATACAGTGTTAAATCATCAGGATAAGGAAAATGAGAAAAGGCATTTTATTCTGTGCAATCTTAGTCAGTAAGGAGGTGGTTGACATCCACAAAGTAATCAGATAGAATTACAGTGAACCCTCACCACTTCGCGCTT